CGCGGGGCCCTCAACCGCCTTCTTGTTGTTTTTCTTAGCCTCTTCAAGACAAAATAAGAGGTATATATGTATATATATATAATATATATATTCGTATATATATATATAAAAAGAGGTAATCGAATCACCATTTCACAGGCGTCTTTGTTTGAAAAAAATACATATATTATCATAATGAAAAAAATCATAATCAAACTTAAACGATACAGGGATTTAGAAGGTTTTTGATCGACGCCAAAAACGCGAGTCGTAGATCTAGGTCCTGGACAGCGACAAACCCCAAACAAACAGAAAACCGAGACCCGACAGAGGAGAGTGGTCGGCGGCGGGGATGGCTGCTCTCATCCCGCGTCGGGAGGAGGGCTTCCCCGCCGCGCCCAGAGTGGAAAGAGGTGTGCGAGTCGGCGCCCCTCGCTTGCCTCCTTCAGGCACACCAGGAAAGGCTGCGTCGACGGTGCTATGTACAAGATGAATGCCTCGGGCGGGGGGCGGGGGAGGGGGAGGGCGGGAGGCGGGGAGGGAGGGCTGTTGACCGTGTGTTCGTTCCTGAAGCGAACGCGTGTGCCTGAAGAAGGAAAGGGTCGTTCGGCCGCCACGACTCAAGCAAGCTCGTGACTTGAGTGGGTATTCTTTGGTATCCTAGCTAAGAGATCGGTCCGTGCTGCTCAAACACGCACTCAGCTACACTAAAGGTCGTCTCTCGCTCTCCGCGGCTGCGGCGCAGGTCGTGAGACGGCGTTCCTTCCTCGTTTGTGTTCGGGTCCTTTTTGGCTTCTCCTCCTCTTCGTCGACGTCGTCGCGGTTCTGGACTTGGCGGTCCTCACCCGCGCGGCTGAGTCCGCGGGCGCGCGATCTTCCTTCTCCCGCAGTCCTTCTCTCGCGCCGCGTCTGCGCGAGGCTGGAGCCTCCCGAGCGCGGGGGGAAGGGAGGGGGGAGGGGAGACCCTCGGAGGGGGAGGGGCAGCGAGGAGGGGGAGCGGAGGTCTGTCGCATCACAGTTGTCTTGATAAGCCGGACACCTGCTCGCCAACGGACGCACAGCAGAGACGAGGTGACGTCACAGCGTTACGTGCAGCGGTCCTGTCTGCCGCACATGGAGGCGCCGAGGGACGACTGCAACATGCGCAGGCGCGCCGCCGTGTTGTTGTGACTGTTGTTGTTGTTGTTGTTGTTGGTGGGGGTGGTGTTGGCGCTGTTGGTGGTGGCGTTGCTGTTGGCGCTGTTGCCACCGCCGCTGCTGTTGTTACCACCGTTGCTGGAGGTCGAGTAGTTCCCCATGTCTGCGGGCGAGAAGGGCAGGTTAGCACGGCGCGGAAACGCTTCGAAATCTTAAGACGAAGGAAAGCATCTACTGCAAGGACGAGCGTGAGACTGAACTTGCATCCTGTCACCTGGAGGATCCTACACCCGTGTCTTAGGAAAACTAAGGTGGAACTAACTGGTCTCTAAGTCCTTATATCCGTGATGCCAAGAAGGAAAATTCAGGAAATGCGGAAAAGGGGAAACCAAATTGATGGACGTGAACGGAAAAATAATCAAGAGAGAAGAGGGAGGGAGGAGAGAGAGAGAGAGAGAGAGAGAGAGAGAGAGAGAGAGAGAGAGAGAGAGAGAGAGAGAGAGAGAGAAGAGAGAGAGAGAGAGAGAGAGGGAGGGAGAGAAGAACGAACGAAAGCCATCCACAGGGAAAACAGAAAAGTGGGAGAGGAAACAAAGGCAAGAAGGCCAACACAAAGAACCAAAAAAGGTAAGGTACACCAATACTCACAGTTACTTACTAAGGAGACCCCCCGTGCCATATCCGTAGGTGGGGTACGCGGAGGAGTACTGAGTGTACGGCGACGAGTACGTGTAGTCTGCCATGGACCCGGCCGTGCCTGAGGGAGGAAGAACGAAGTCGTTAGTGGCGAAGCTCGGCAGCGCAATCGGACACAGTCAAAAGATAAACACGAATGGAAAGGAATAAACAACAGGCGTAAAAAAAAGTAACAAATAAATAAATGCGTTTGGGTAATGATGAATAAACATGTAAATAAATCAGTAGAGTAAAAAGAGATCCTCTGGACCGGTCTGTATGCAATCCCTGTTCGGTTGGGGGAGAGTGACATGGAAGCCTCTAGCGGCGGGAGAGATTTTGGTCCGAGTGAGCCTCCTGCGGTCTCGGGGGAAGGGGCGGGGCGGAAATCCTACTGTTTGAGTGTAAACAAGAAAAGAAAGACCTAAAGGATGAACGGCCGCCCTGCAGAGCCACTTGAGGGGCGCGGCGACGGAGGTGTCTGGGCCTTGCCTGAGAGGAGGGCGGGAGGCGCCTCCGGGGGCTGGGAATCTGGAAGCGGGACCCTCTGGGGGCGCCCGGGCGGGACGCGGGCGTGGACATGCAAGTGGGCGTGCGGTGCAGACTCGAGGGAGACGAGTAGGAGCGGGGGGGGGACTTACCTGAGGGAGGGGTAGGGGGGAGGAGGGCTTACCTGCGTAGTGAGTGATGGGCGGGAGGGCGGTGTAGGTCGGGTCGGGGGTGACCGCGGCATGGGCATGCATGGGTACGTGGGCATGCGATGGGGTGTGCACGTGGGTGTGCGCATGGTTGGGGGCGTGGTGGGTGGCGGCGTGGGCGTGCGACGCGGCTGCAGGACCGTGAGGGCGGAGGTGCAGGGCGTGTCGGCCTTGAGCGGCGACGAGCAGGGCGCCACCACCAGCGTGTCCAGCGACGTCACGCTCTCGCTCGCCGTGCACTGGGCGGGCGACACGGGCGTGTGGTCCGGGTAGTGGGCGGCCGCGGTGGTGTAGGCGGCGTTAGAGGTGGGCTGAGGCTGGGTGCCGCTCAGGGGGGTGTAGACGGACCCACCTGGCGTCAGATAACAACTTCCCATCACACTCACACTCGACTACGGCCGGGTCGGGCGCCGCCGCGGGCTCGCCTCGTCTCGGGCGTCCAGGCCGTGAACGCTGACCCTGACGTCGGCCAAAGGGCCTCGCAAATCCCTCTGACGCCCATCCCAGCCTGAGACGAGTGAGCCCGCGGGCGCGGCGTCGAGCCCGCGCGCCCCCCCGCAAGGCGGCCGCCCGTCGGAGGCTCTCGCTCCTCCGGGCGGCGCCTCCTTGCCGAAGGGCGCGGCGGCGCTTCTCAAACAACATAAAAATAAGAGCTCATCTACAGGACGCAGCCTGCGGCAGCCCCGAGAGCGGCGTCCGCCCTCGGCGCCCCATGCCGCCCGCGCCACCAGCGAGCGCGAGGCGCCCGCCCTCCCCGAGGTCGGCCGGAAGCGACCTCGACCTCGGCGGGGGGGGCCTGCGCTCCTTCGTGGCGCGGAGCCGACGCACGAGGCGCCCTCCGGCTCGACCGCCGCCCCACGCCCTCGGAGGGCGCGGAGGCGAGGGCCGGGCCGAGGCGGGCGGCTCGCCAAGGGCTTCCTGCGCCAGGGCTGAGCCGGCTGCGCCTGGGCTGCGTCCCTCAGCCACTGCTACAGGTGCAAAGTGCAGGTGCAAATTAGTGCACAGGTGCTAATGTGCATTAAAGTCAACAAAATTATCTTGCATGAAAAAGCAACTGAACTCTATTACAGACACATTTAAAGAAAAAATATCAAAACAAAAATGAATTCTTACATGAAAGAGCTACGTCAAAATAATATATTTCAGATCACAGGGGAAAAAAACAGTCGTCATGCAATCATGCAACAACACAAATGGGCGTCCATGCACAGCACTAATGTGTAATGAATTCTCATGCAACAGATGATGAAATAACATGCAAGGGGTTTGATTCCCGGTCCCGTTCCCGGTTCCAGGATTCCTAGCCAGTTATTTGACAGTGGACCAGACACCTTCGTCAGTAGGACAGCACAAAATGTTATTTTCATTTATCCTTATGATTTCGGCTTTGACTTCCGACAGATGTTAGGGATGGGCTGGCGGAGGATTAATAGAGCTGCCGACAGAGTGGAGGGGTTAGAGCTCTCCTTGGATGGCTCTGCGGGTTATGGGTGACGGGGTGACGGAGGGAAGAGCAGGGGAAACAGGAATAAAACACGTTAGGAGGTTAGAACACGTGGGAACAGAACAAAAACCGGAAAGAAGTAAACACAAATGTAAACAAACAGAAAAGGAGGGAACATGACACACGGAGATGAGTGAAAATGAGAGAATGCAGACGGGTGAAGTGAGGTTGAATTTCAGTGAAAATGAAAGTGGGAAGCGAGCCAAATGAAAGTGAAAACGAAAATGAATGAAAATGGAGACGGAAAGAGAAACGAAAATGAATGAAAATGGAGACGGAAGGAGAAACGAAAATGAATGAAAATGGAAATGGAGAAAAGAGGGAAATGGGAGTGGAAATGGAAATGAGCCCCTCCCCCCCCCCCCCCGCGCCGACCAGCATCCGTGCAGCGGCGTCCTTCATCTCTAAGCGCGGACTTTGATGGCTTCTTAGGATCGGTTTCCTTTAGCTTACGACGCCCGCGCGCCCAACGGCTCGTTCCGGAGTGCTTCGCGCCCACTAAATATTTCTCCCGAGCGACGGTCACCGCGCCGGCCGCTGAAAAAGCCTTCTTTTCTCCCTCGCGAAATCCCCTCTCGCGCCCTCCCTTTCTTCTCCCCTCCTTCCTCTCCTCCCCTGTTTCCCTCTCTTCCTTCTCCCCTCCTCCCTTCACCCTCCTCCTCCTTCCTTCCTCCCCGTCCCTCTCCTTTTTCCCTTTCTTCCTCCTCTGATCCCGAGCCAGGCAGGCCTTGTTCGATAAATCAAAGCGTTCACAGAATCCCGCTTTTCACGGCGGCGAAACGGCGATAAAATTCCATGGCTGAACACGGCGCCGCGACTGTAAAATCCACCATTGTCCCGACATTGTTGGCGGACGCAAGATGAGTTACGGCCGCGGCAGCCCAGGATATCTTACGGCCGCGCTCGTGTCGCCCGCGCCCTTGAGTACACCGACGGGTTTTACGTGGGTGACGGAGCCGCTTTTTGGAGGCAGGCGAAGGCCAGAGGGCCGCGCGGGTGACGGAGGGCTGGAACGGCCATTAAAGTCGGGCCGAAGTCTACTAGAAAAAGCCATATAAGAAGGGAAAGTCACCTCCCAAAATGGCTGCCGATCTCGTGCCGTCTTGAGGGGAGGCCGAGGGGGCGGGGAGGAGGAGGAGGGAGAGGGAGAGGGAGAAGAAGAGCGAGACGAAGGAGGAGAGAGAGAAGGTGGAGAGAGAGAGAAGCGAGGAGGAGGAGGAGAGGAGGAAGGAGAGGAGAGGAGAGAGAGAGAGAGAGAGAGAGAGAGAGAGAGAGAGAGAGAGAGAGAGAGAGAGAGAGAGAGAGAGAGAGAGAGAGAGAGAGAGAGAGAGAGAGAGAGAGAGAGAGAGAGAGAGAGAGAGAGAGAGAGAGAGAGAGAGAGAGAGAGAGAGAGAGAGAGAGAGAGAGAGAGAGAGAGAGAGAGAAGAGAGAGAGAGAGTGAGAGAGAGAGAGAGAGAAAGAGAAAGAGAGAGAAAGAAGAAAGAGAGAGAGAGAGAGAGAGAGAGAGAGAGAGAGAGAGAGAGAGAGAGAGAGAGAGAGAGAGAGAGAGAGAGAGAGAGAGAGAGAGAGAGAGAGAGAGAGACTTGACGAAGAGAAGGGCGAGATCCTCGGGCAGGACGTCCCCCTCGGCCCGACCCGGCCGAGGAGCGCCGTCGGGTCCTTCCCTCGGGTCCTTCCCTCGGGCGCGCGGCCTCGCGGCTTCCCGCTCCCGAAGGCGAAGGCTGCGAGGCGGACGCATTTCATGGGGAATTTCAGCGCCGTCTCGGAGCAGATTCCGCCCTAATGTAAACTTTCTCCGCGCGATCCGTGCGTAGTGCGATGACTTCCAAGCAAACTTGCTGACTTAACAGCCCCGGAGACGAACTTGTGGCCGGTGATTCCCTCGACTTTATGGCTAAACTTGGCTCAGGTTCCCAGGCCGGATCTCTCTCCCTCTCTCCTCTTTACTCTCTCTCTCTCTCCCCTTTCTTCCCCGCTCGTCACACTCGCAAGAACAGCCGAGAATCCCCGAAGATGGCGCGGATCTCGCGTGATTAAATCGTGTCGGCGCGGTTCTGTGGATACGTTTGAGACGCAGCCGTGCGTGTCGCCGAAAGTGGATACGTTCTAGACGCGGTTCCAAGCCCGGGAATCGTATCCAACCTGATTCCTTACATCAGGAATGACTCACGGCGACAGGATGCCCCGAGAATGAGGGTGATGCATGAGGATAATAAAGATGAGGATAATAGTAAGTGAATAATGCATGTGATGGATGGAGATTTACACAGATCCGCGGGAGCCTCGGCGGTGGCCGGAGGGACGTCGGCGCCAGCGAGCCTGAACGTGGCGGGGTGGATGGCTTGGATGGCTTGGATGAGCCGCCGGTGTGCGTGGGTGGATGGATGGATGGCATGGGGGGGAGGGAAGGGAGGGGGGCGCTTCGAAGGGGGGGGGGGGGGTGCTTACCTTGATGGAACTGGGACGCGGTTGTGTCAAGGACCGAAGGAGCGGCGAGCACGGGCTTCACGTCTTGCATGGTGATGGGTGTGAGAGGTGTCAGTCCACCTGCGCTACCTGTAGGAGGCCAACCACACAGTTATTTTCTGGAGTGTCTCTCTCTCTCTTTCTTTAACCTTCTATTCTTCTTTCTTGTCAAACAGGAGGGGACAGAACGGAAAAAAATAATCTAGTTTCTGAGACTTTTTTTCTGCTCTTTCGCCCTCCTTTTCTTCACTTATGAAACAACATTCTAGCTTTTCTATCTTTGGCTTTTCTCTCTTTCTTCTGTCTTTTCAACGAACTACGGACATCCCCATCACCATGAACCCACAAGAGATGACGTGGACCCGCCGACGCCGTCTTCGAAGAGGGAGGGAGGGAAGGGGAGGAAAGGGGGGGAAAGGGTGGGAGGGAAGGGGAGGAAGGGGAGGAAAGGGGAGGGAAAGGGTGGGGGAAGGGGAGGGAAAGGGAAAAGGAGGGAAGGGGAGGAAAGGGAAGGGAAGGGAGGGGGGAGGGAGGGAAGGGGAGGGAGCGAGAGGGAGGAAGGGAATGAAGGGACGAGAGGTTAGAGATGAAGAAAGCAGGAGGATGAGAATCAGAAAAAAATAGGAAGGAAACGAAAGAACTCGCAAGAACGAAGATTTCACCCAAAAGTTGTGACAAAAAAGCAGAGAGAAGAGAAGGAACCAAGGAGGAAGACGAGGAAGATCAACCGAAAGGAGGGGAGAAGAGACAAGGTCCCGAGGCAAGACTTACCGAGCGAAGTGGCGAGAGGAGGCGAGTAGACCTGGTTGGTGTTGGACTGCGTCATGGCCATCGTCTCGTAGAGGGCGTCCGTGGAGGCGGAGGCGGCGGACACCGACGGGTAGCTGGCCGGGTGGTCCACGAACGACTGCACGCTGCTGGAGGGGAGGGGGGGGGGGTTAGCGTCGAATTGGTGCAGGGCAGAACGCGCTTACACCACACACGCAAGCACACACACAAACATACAAATATTTATTCAACACGAACACAAACAGGTAAATCATCCATGTCAAAAGGGAAAACCCAAAATGAAATAATGCTGATAATAAAGCACACAAACATAAGAACAGAGGCTCTGCTTGTGCGTCGCTCGACCTACCTGTAGGGGGAGGCGGCGCCCCCCGTGACTCCGCCGCCGAGGTCGGGCAGCAACGTCTTGGTGGCGTCTTCGGTCTTGAGGGTCGGCCAGGCTTGCTTCGACCATAACATCTGCCGGAGAGAGAGGCGGTGAGAAGCGGGATTGATAAAGGGGGAATGGCAACGCTAGAATAGAGACGGCTACTTACAGGAATGAATTCAGATAAAAGGGATAAAGATAGAATAACAAATATAATGTTTAGTAATGATTCTAACGATGCTGTCTGTCAGGGCCGGCGCCCTGGGGCGCTGACACGCCTCTGCACTCTTCGGACACGGGCGCGACTCCGCTCCCGCGCGAACGAGGCCGACCGTCGCCGAGGCCGCGAGTCGCGAGGTAGACTCCAGCCGCCGTTCCTTCCCTTCGCCTTCGGGCGGCGTCCGCGCGCTCCTGCGGCCGCGACGACGCTGCCGACCGCCGCCGCGTTGCCGCAGGACGCGGAGGAGCCCTTCGTTTTTCGCCGCGTCCGCCTCGACTCGCTCCAATATCCAATTTATATTCATCGCGGCATTAGCGCGCGACCGGGGCGTGACGGCCGCCTTCTCGGCTCTCCCCCTCCCCACATGGTGCTGGGGGGGGGGGTATTAAATGCGGTAGTTCAGTCGCGTGTTTGCATAAGAGCGGCAATGTTGCAGTCCCCGTCACGGAGCGCTGTCCTCCGGTTGCAAGGCCGGCGTTGCAAAGTATCAAGCTGCCAACTGGAACGGGGCACGGGGCCGGCACGGAGCGCGGGGCGGCCTCCTGCGCCTCCGGCCCGTCTCGTCACCGCCGTCGGCTCCCGTGTCCGGCTCGGGGGCGTCGCTCATGCATACGCATGACCGCGCGGCCGCCCGCGCTCGAGCACACGCAAGGGCCGCCGCAGCAGGACGTCCGAGCGGCGTCCCCGGCCGCGCCTTCCTCTGCCGCCAATCGCGTCTTCCGCAAATGATTAATTTTCCGGTCGTTTCTCCTTCCACTCGTTGGCTGATTCTCCGCTCGAACAATGCTGGCCGTGGGGAGGGGGGGGGGCGCAGAGGCTAAGGAAGAACTGCGGCCTGAGGGGAGAGAGGAGTGCCAGGAGGGGGGGGGGCACGGGCGTGACACAGACGCGTATCCTTCGTGGTCCGAGTGGCGCCTTCGCGAATCGAGCCGCTCCTTCGGCGATCGAAAGGAATGGAGCCTCTCCCCCCCCTCCCCCTCCCCCCTCGGCTCGCGTGACGGCCGTCCGATTATCCCGACGATGACGACGACGATGATGGCCGAGAGCACCGGCATGGGCGTGCGGGCGGGCGTCGGTTGGTGTATTTACCCGCCACTCTTACATCACAAAAGTCATTACTAGGCATTGATTCCGTAAGAGGGGAGGGGCGGGAGGCGGGGGGTGGGGAGGGGGGAGATCGTGCAAAATGGGTGGGTGTAGCTGATGGCCAAGTGAGTGATGGGCGTGACAACAGGTCGAAAGCGCGGGCGAGGTGTCATTTGGCCGTGGGCGTGTCCGAGCGCCGTGCGGGAGAGCGCGCGAGCTCGCCCAGATCGGTAAGGTAAACAAGGTCCTGCTAAGTACCACTTTAATATTTAAACTTCCAAAAAGCAAGACGCGGCGAGAAGAGGAAGGAGAAAAAGAAGGAAAAAAAATCACAGATCGTATCGACGAAATCATGGAAGAATTTTGCTTTTATTAGACTAAGGTTGTTTCTGCGGAATTCCATCCGGGTTCTTTCGTTATTCCTTCTGGCACGCGAGGAGGAGAGAGAGAGAGAGAGAGAGAGAGAGAGAGAGAGAGAGAGAGAGAGAGAGAGAGAGAGAGAGAGAGAGGAGAGAGAGAGAGAGAGAGAGAGAGAGAGAAGAGAGAAGAAAGAGAAAGAGAGAGAGATTTGAAATAGAGAAAGTGAGAAAGATAAACAGAGATAGATAGATAGTAGATAGAGAGAGAGAGAGATAAAGAAAGAGAAAGAGAGTGAGAGAGAGAGAGAGAGAAGGAGCTGTCTGCTGGGGAAGGAGAGACACAAAGTGGACGCTGAAATGCACAGTATCGACACAGCATCGACACTCGTATTGTGTCACTGTCGCGGAGGGGGGGGGGGTCCCGTCCAGGCTTAAGCCCCAACTCAAAAATGCGAAAAAAGGACAAAAAGCCAATAAATAGCTGAACTCGGAGACGAATATAATGGAAAAACGATAAAAAGGACCGCCAATGGCCAAGGACGCCCCTAGAAGTAAGAGAACAGGGGGGGGGGGGGGCTATGACGGGGACATCTACACGCTGGGAAATGGAAGGGGAACAGGCGATACGGAGGCAAAGGTGGAGGAAAGGGAAGAGAAAAGAAGAGAGAGAAGAGGAGGAGAAAGAGGAGGGAAAGGAGACAGAAGAGGAGAAGGAGGAGGGAAAGGAGACAGACGAGGAGAAATAGGAAGGGGATCGAAGAGAACGAGGGAGGCATGGCAGGGGAAGGAAAGGAGAAGTAGAAGAAAAAGGAAGAGAGAAAGGGAATAAAGGCAGTATGGAAAGAAGAGGGAGGAAGAAAAGGGTAAATAGCAAGGGAATCGAGAAGGCGGAGAATGGGAAAGTGAAAGAAGGAAAGGGATAAAAAACGAAAGCGGCGAAGCAGAGGGAGAAAAAAAAAACAGGAAAGGGAAGAGCGAGAAAGAAAACGCGAAACAGAGAGAAAGAAAACGCAAAAGAACCGAAATAAAGGCGGAGCAATCATGGCAGCGGAGGAAGAGAAGGGAAGGGAAGGGAAGGGTTGGGACGGACGGAGGGAGCGAGGGGCGGGGAAGCGGGGAGGAGGGACAGACGAAAGAGGGGAGAGGGGCGGAGGGGAGGGGGGGGGATGTGTGACTGCACGTCGTCCCCGGCCGGCACCATGACTGCCATAAACCAAAATGTCTGCGCCATAACTCCGGGAGACTGCGATCCCGACGCAAATAAAAGGCGAAGGAGGAACCGCCCGAAGACAAATAAAAGGGGCCGTAACTCGCTCATAAATCAGCTGCCCCAACAAATTGAGATTGGCACGGCGCCTCTCGGAATTTCAAAGCAGGTAATAAGGCCAGTGATTGGCTACTTCACGTAACCAAGAATATGATCCCAGGCTTTGATTGGCTGCCGTTGACCGCCGGGGGAGGGGGCGGGGGCAGGGCGAGGAGGGGGGAGGGGGGCTTTCATATCGTGAATTGACCAATAAGATTACAAATGACCTCCAGGGAATGGTAGTTATGAAAGATATAGACTGCTTTGTTTGGGTGATTTGGAGCACCAAGGTGTAATAAATCTGTTTTATTGCTCAATTTTGCTGTAAGACATCGGAGCTTCCTCCATTTTCTTCGAGATTGTGGAATACGATCCCTTTGTCTTCAGCTGCCTCACGAAAAGGGAGCAAGCGGAGGGAGAGGAGAGATAGATAGGAGAAGAGGAAAGGGGGAAGAAGAAGAAAGGGGAGAAGAGGAGGAAGAAGAGGACTTGAAATCCAGGAAGAGGAGAAGGAAGGAGAAGGGGAGGATGAATAGATGGAATAAGAAGTGGGTTAGAATGGAGGAAAAGGTGGAGGGATAGGAAAGGAGGAGGAAGAGGAAAGAGAATAGCGAAGAAGTGAAGAGAAGGACAAGCAACTAAATACAAGAATAAACGAAATCAAAAAGGAGAGAATATATGGCAGAAACTAGGAGAAAAAAACTAAAAGACAAGAAAAAGGGAAAAAAGGAGAGAAACAGAGAGAAGATAGGAGATAGAAAGGAGAGAGAAGGGGGAGGGGAGGAGGAGGAGGAGAGGAGGAGGAGGGAGGAGGGGGTCAGTAAGGAAATACGTTTTCTGTTTGTCTTATAGAAAACAAATTATCCTCATTCACATTCGACAAGTTAAGAGGTCTCAGGGGCACAGTTCTTGCATGTATAACACCTTCGAGTACTGGCCTGCGAGAGATGGATTCGGGTGGGGGGGGGGAGGTAGAAGGAGAGATAAGAGGAAGAAGAAGATGAATTGATAGAAAGTGAGGGGAGGAGGGGGAGGAGGAGGAATAAGGTGGAAGGAATGAGGATGATAGCAAAGCAGGAAAGAGGGGGAGGGGGGAAGAGGATGAAGAAGAAAGAGGGGAAAGAGGAGGAGGAGGAGAAGAAGAAGAAGGAGGAGGAGGATGAGGAGGAGGCGGAAGAGGAAGAGGAGGAAGCAGAGGAGGAGGAGGAGGAGGAGAAGGAGGGAGAGGAGGAGGAGGAGGAGGAGAAGAGAAAAAGACGAAGGAGAAGAAGAAGGAGGATGAGGTCCCTCGCCTTGCTCTCCCTTGTGCACCATCGCCCCCTCATAATTCCTCCGATGAATAATATCTTCTTCGTCAAACTGGTAATGCATCGGCCCCCCCCCCCCCCCCCGTCTCCCTTCCACTCTTTCGTTCCGGCAAATGGCTCGAGGCAGATCTATCGCAATCAGGAGACATCCCGGGTTTTATAATAATCATCCCTTCCTTTTAGTCAGCTGACCCGATAGCGCGGGTTTCTGAACAGGGAATGAGCAATATTAATGACGATTATAGTATTAGTAACAGTGATAGAGATACTACTCGTACTACTACTACTTGTAATAATTATGATGATAATCATGATATTGATAATGATGATAAAAAAGATAATAGTAATACCAATATGATCAACAACAGATAATGAAAATGATACAGTATTTGTTTTTGTTCCAGATATCTCTGTATTATCATCTTCATCACTTATCGCTATCATCCTCCTCCTCCTCCTCCTCATCATCATCATCATCATTATCCTCATCATCATCATCATCATCTCTCTGTGCGACTTACATTAGTGTAAAGCGGGTCTGTGTTGTACTGCGTTCTCTGGCGCTTCGGGTCGTCGTCCGGGTGGCCAATCATATCGCGAGGTTCATCTGGCGGAGGAAAATACACGGTTATGATTGGGCGGAAAGAATGCAAAGCAAGATGCTGTAAATAAACAGGGATCAGGTAACTGCAATATGAAATACAGAATAACGAAGCCAATAATGATCACGGTGATAATAACAAGATTATTACTGATGTCAAAGAAGAGAAGGCGAAGAAGACTGGAATATCGGCGAGAGGTGCTACTTGACTTCTTCAAAACAATAATAACACAAAAAAGGAAGATGTCAGGCGACAGTGAATACAAGATCACACCAAAGAAAAAACAAAACAAGATGAAAAATAAGAGAAAGACAAAAGACGAGCGCGACCCGCGTTCCGAGGGTAGGCCTACATGGCCACGCGCGATCGAGAGTTCATATGGACTGACTCACTCAACGCGACAGAAGCAGAGCCATTTTAAACCGTAATAATTCATCTTGTACAATATAATCAGTTTAATCCCCTCCCCCCCCTCTCCCCTACTTCCTCCCCTCTTCCCTTCTTCCTCCCCTCTCCTCCCTCTTCCTCCCTTCCCCCAACTCTTGGGTTTCCTTAATGGCTTTTGATGGAGCGGCAGTTATTTTTTTTTTTTTATTTTTTGTTGTGTGTGTTGGGGAGAGAGAGCGGCCGCGTGCCAGTCATCAGATTATCAAGGGCGATTTTTATTGACTTTAATATGTGTAATACGACCAAAGGGAATTGCTGCGGTTGCCCCCCCCTCTCTCTCTCTCTCTCTCTCTCTCTCTCTCTCTCTCTCTCTCTCTCTCTCTCTCTCTCTCTCTCTCTTCTCTCTCTCTCTCTTTATCTATCTATCTATCGATCTCATTCCTCCATTTTCTTCCCGACTCGAAATCCCAGCGATTTATTTTCTAAATAACAATCCGTCATTCTAATCCGGATTACAAGAAATCCGAGAATTAGTGAACGCGGAGAGAGGAAGCGGCAAAAGAAGAAGAAGAAGAAGAAGAAGAAGAAGAAGAGAAGAAGAGAAGAGAGAGCGAAGAGAATCAGATGCAAAGCCGAAGGAAGACATGGTAAACGAGAGACAGAGGAGAGAAGAGAGAAAGGATGAGTTTGAATGGGAAGAGGTGGGAGGGAGGGGGGGGCGCCCCTAATCAAAATAATAATCATAATATAATCATCCCACAATGGCGGGCGAGATTAGAAACAGAGGCGGCCGCTGAATGTCACAGCGCCCCTCGGGAGGCGGCCACAAAGCAAGCCAGAAAATGGAGGGGCTCTTTCTATTAGATTACGGCTCGCCCTCACCCTTCTCCCCTTCCCCTGCACCCTTTGCGCCGCCCCTCCCTGGCACCCTTCTCCGCAGGCACCCTTCTCCGGCACCCTCCTCGGACGCCCTTCCTCGGGCCGCCCTTCCCCGCCGCCCTCCGCAGGCTCGGCGGCCCCCTGCGCCCACCCTTTCCCCTGCCGCCCTTAGTTGGCACCCTTACCAGCCACCCTTTCTGAGTGCCATTAGGGAGCTGCCACAGATTTACTTTTTCCCCTTCTCCTTCCCTTCTCGCTGGCTTCGCTTTCTCACCCTTTTCTTTCTTCTGGTTTTCCTTCTGCTTCTCTCATTCTGTTGCGTTTGATATTTGAATCTTATTTGTTTTACTCAAGTACATCCGGAAACTTAAAGAAAAAGAGCGAATAACAGCAACATCAAGGTAAAATATTGAAAAAAGGACTTGTACCAGTTCCTGAAGGTTGACCCAAGGACGAGAATGTGGAATGGAGGACTCTACTTCCCCCCCCCCCTCCTCTCTCCCTCCCCTCCTACCCTTCCCCTCCCCCTCCGTCTCCCTCTCCCTCCTCCCCTTCCCCCCTTTCCCCACTTTCTCCCCCTTCCCCCTCCGTCTCCCTCTCCCTCTCTTCTTCCCCTCCCCCTCTCTCCCCCCCCCCCTACTTTCTGCTCACCCCCTCTCCCGTTCCCTCCTTCTCCCTTTCCCCTCCCTCTCCCTCCCCCTCTCCTCCCCGCCCACCCAAAGATACGTGCTACTGATCTCAGCCATTTCTCTTGGGGCGCGCTCTGGAAAAGGAAGCATCCTCCAGGAGGTCTTGGGGCGGGAGGGAAGGAGGAGGAAGGAGGAAGGAGGAGGAGGAAGGAGGAGGAGGAGGAAGGAGAAGGGAAAAAGGAGGAAGGGAGGAGGGGGGAGGGAGAGAGGTATAAAGATTGTAGGGTTAAAAGAGGGAGGAGGGATGGAAAGGAGGGAAGATGTAGGTTGTAAAGGGATTAAAGAGTTCGGGAAGGAGGAGAGAGCGAAGGGAGAGAAGGAAAGAGCTGAGGGAGGGAAGAGGAAAAGGAGAGAGTGAATAAAGCCAAGAAATAGGGAAGGAGGGCAGTAAGGATAGTGAAAAAAAGCGTGAGTGAGCGAGTGACGAAGTGCGTGCGTGAGTGAGTGAGTGAGTGAGTGAATGAGTGAGAGAGTGAGTGAGAGAGTGAGTGAGCGAGTGACGAAGTGAGCGAGTGACGATGTGAGTGAGAGTGAGTGAGTGAGAGAGTGAGTGAGCGAGTGACGAAGTGACGAGTGACGATGTGAGTGAGAGAGTGAGTGAGAGAGTGAGTGAGCGAGTGACGAAGTGAGCGAGTGACGATGTGAGTGAGTGAGTGATGAGTGAGTGAGTGAGTGAGTGAGCGAGAGAGTGAGTGAGCGAGCGAGTGCCAGAGTGAGCGAGAGGGCACGGCGCTGGCTCCAAGAGGGCGCCCGCCCGTCCCCCAGAGGGCTGCCAACTCGCTACTCTGGCTCGCTCGCTCGCCCGGGGGACAGAGCCAAGAATCCTGCGGGGGGATCCTTAGGGGGGGGGGGGAAGGGAGGGGGGGGCGAAGGGCGAGGAACAGAAGACGAAGAAAGATGGAATAATACGAGGAACAAAACTATGAGGGAGACGAAGAACAAGACGAAAAAATGAGGATTAGGAAGAGGAGGAAGGAAAGGAAAACAAGGTGAAGATGAAGAAAAATAAAAGAGAAAACCAAAGATGGAAAGAGAAGAACGGCAAGAGAGAAGGATAATCAATTCCCTTTGATAATTAACTGGAAGGATATGATCTAATTCTAAAAGATATTAAAAAAAAAGTTTCCGACAACTTTCGAGGCAGAAAGATGAGAGAGAAAAAAAAAGTTACAGAAGACCTTTTACAAAAAAAAAAAAAAAAAAAAAAAGATCATAATAAAACCAAAGTAGACCACAAAGGAAAAGAAACGGGAGATAATGAAAAAGAAAAAAAAATAGCTGTTGAACTTCCTTCGCGTTTGGGACACAAAACAGAAATAGAAAAGAGAAATCAAAAGGAAAAGCTAAAGAAAGTCGAGAAGAATGATAGTAATAATATTGATGGTGATAATATTCATAGTAACAGTAATGATGGTACTAACAATAATAATAATAATAATAATAATAATAATAATAATAATGACCATGATAAACAATATCAATAACAATTTCAACAGAAAAAAATTAAACTCGCAATAAGGGACTATATGGACCCCCCCCCCCCCCCCCGACGCAACATGGAGTTTAAACACGAAATGAAGGCGACGATGGAGTTGGAGTAGGGGGTAGGAGGGGAGAGGGGAGGGAGAGGGGGGAGAGGGGGGCGGGCTAATGGAATATCGGTGCATTGATTGCGTTACATAATAATTTTTCAGACCATTACTGACCGATCACTCTCACTCTTTTGCTCTCTCTCTCTCTCTCTCTCTATTTCTCGCTCTCTCTCTTTCGCTGTATTTCTCTCTCACTCTTTCTCTCTCTCCCTCGCTTTCACTCCCTCTTTCTCCTCCTCTCTTCCCACGCCTTCGCCTCTCGACAACCCCAAGTTCCCCTCATTCTCGCTGTCCTCTTCCCCATCATCCCCCTCCTTCCTCCCCTCCCCCTCCCCCCCTCCCTTGCTGACATAGGGCTCATATTGTCAAGAAACATATTGTGCGCCGTTCCGATGGCTGCGTCGCCTCAATGCGCCGCCTCAACAGTGACATCTATCGGCGGGGGACGGAACTCCGAGAAACAATGAACATGGAAGGGCACGCGGGCATAAATAGAAATCCAAATGTTTCCCCAACAATCAGGAGGGGGGACTCTGTTCGTATGTCTCTCTCTCTCCCTCTCTCCCTCTCTCTCTCTCTCTCTCTCTCTCTCTCTCTCTCTCTCCTCTCTTCTCTCTCCGTCTCTCTATCTTTCTATATTTCTTTCTCTTTCGCTTGTATAGTTCTCTCTCTCTCTCTCTGTCTCATCTCATCTTTCTCTCACTTTCGCGTGTTAATCTCTCTCTCTCTCTCTCTCTCTCTCTCTCTCTGTCTCATCTCCTCTTTCTCTCACTTTCGCGTGTTAATCTCTCTCTCTCTCTCTCTCTCTCTTTCGCTTTCCCTCATTCTAACCACTTTAACCTCCCTCTCTCGCTTTCTCTTCCTAATGTATCACACAATTTTGATGAATGCCATCCTATTACACAATGTACCAGACGATAAGCGAAGGATAATAGGAAGCTTAATAGTCGAATTTCTGTTTGATGAATGACCGAATCTCAAATTACTTTTTTATTTCTTTTCCGTATTTTTTTCGCGGATTTTATAAACCTCTTTTTCCCTCGACGGGGCGATAAATCCTCTGAATTGGTTGTTTTTTTTCTCTTATGTACCTTTGATTTATCTAACTTTTATCTATTCCTTTTATTTTTTATTTGCTGGACTGTATTTATTTTTATTTTTTTATTGCTGGACTGTGTTTGACTCGGTTTCCCTTCGCCTCTTTATACCTGGACTCACTTCGTTTTGTTTTGCTGACTCTTCCTCGGATTCACTTCGATCTCCTCTCGGCTTGACTCACTTTCCCTCTCCTCTCCTTTATTCCCTTTATTCGCTTCCTCTTTCAGCCGCGCGCCGCCCGTGAATGCAATCGATCGGGAACAAAATGTAACAGTAACAGAAGCACTCAAGGAGCACACGCGCTCTATTAAGGTCGATTATGACGCGCTATAACGGCTCAAATAGACTCTTACTGACTCT